CTCTTAAACCGTGGCCATCAGCTAATGTTGCCCTGTGGTTTTGGTCAGCACGCTGGAAAGATACTCCCACTACAAGCTGTTATTGTCAGTCTCGTGTGGTAGCAAATGATGGCAGTCTGCAAGGCTCTCAGAATTTTCTAGGAGAGCAGCCAGCTTCATTTCAGGTTTAAGACAGCCGGAGGAATGCTCTGCCTGGTCTAAAGAATCAGTCCTTCCCTTCAGTTGCTCTGTTATGAGTAGGCTTGCTCAGTCATGCGTGGCCACTGCCTAAAACCTGTCTAAATAGGCAGTGATGACCAAGGCTGAAACCAGTCAAATCAGGAACTTTCCAGTCTGACGAGAAAAAAAAAAAGATTTCCGCTCCACACTGACTTAGCACAGGCTGGACTCCTTGCCTTTCGTTTGATGCTCTTGGTTGCTTCTAAAAGCCATTGTGAAAGGGACACAACCCACAGGACAGCAGGAGGCTCGGAGTAAAGCTACATCGTGCAGCCGAAACATTCACACAGCTTGAGGCTGTCAAAAAGGGGAGACTGCATTCCTCACACATACACACCCAAACACACCTTATTTGCCTCTTTTCCCTGTCTCCAGCCACCCTGCTTACCCCACACTAGCTTCAGCGTTCATCAGGGCCTCTACAGGCCAGTTCAGCTCATGAACCTAGCAGAAAACAGAAGAGGAAAAATGAACCATTTTTGGCCCGTTTCCAGGGTCGGCTTGGCCGATGGATGGATCTGACAAGCTCCAGAATCGGGTGCAGGGTGGGAAGACAGCAGGTTGCTAGATCAGCTCAAGCATTCAGGTTATGCCTTCACGCCGAGGCGAATGAGGGGTGCTGGCCAAGCTGCGTAGCAACGGGAAGCACAAGGTGGGGAGACAGAAGTGAATTGCTTCAAATGCCACAGCCAGATCCTTGAGAGCTAGTATACACCCTTCCTGAAAGCAGAGGGTGCTTCCTCACACCTGCCGTGGCCAAGACATTTGTTCCCAAAACTGCACGGGCTATAAATCCTTGTGCCTAATTTGGTCCATGTAACTTCCTGTTTAGACAAGCCCTCTGAATTTCTGCTGGCTGTCATGACCCCACCAGAACACCTCCACACATGAAATTAAACTTTCCTCTGTGTGTGTGTGTGTGCAAGCCAAGAAAGGAAAAAAGCAACAGCAAAACAGAAGGCGACCACAGCCTTGTTCACAGGGGTCACTCAGTGCAGGCCTGTGATATGCTCCGATGGCAGCGAGGCACTGAGCACACTGTGGGTTAGGACCTTCGGTGTCGCAGGGCAGGCGGAGATGAGACACACGGAGGAGACAGCTCACAGGCAGCAATTCCTCAGATAGGGACTCGTGCTGAAACGGCAAAGGTTGAACGCTTACGATTTGGCCAAGATGCCAGGACACTAAGCAGTGAAGATGTTAAATCAGGCCCAAAAGGGAAGCGGCTGTAATGAGTTCTCTTACAAAGCACTTCTCCAGCCAGGAGATGCAGATTGAGCAACAGGCTGACATCAGTTAAAAGAACAGGATGGTGGAGGGAGCAGCTCAGATGCTAAACCATGCGGATGTTACTTAGGACACCATGTAAAACATAATTTCTGATTGGGAGGAAAAATAAGCCAGAATTGCAGCATTGTTACTTAATCCAGGAAACTTTGTTAATGAAGTTCAGCTGTATGAGCTGGCTCAGCATGACCACACAAAAAAGCTACCAGCCTTTTACTGGAATTCATAAGCGGCTGCATCCCTAACCGCAGCGAGGCTTAACTAGCAGTGAAGACTGCCTGACACTGGCAATTCCTACTTCTTTCCCTGCCCCTAGAGCCTCACTATAGCAGAGCTTCCCTGGAGAAGATGCTGTGTCAAGGCCAGGTCCTTGCCCAGCAAGGACTACGCGCTCCAGCCCTTGCTCACTCATTATCCCGAGTGCCTCGCTTTCGGAAGCAAGGGTCAAACGGATCTGCCATCAAACCTCGTGCTTATTTAACTCCCACTCTTATCACGCACCTCTTTGATCAGTCAGTTCAGATCCGCAGGCAAGGAAAAGGCTGTCTCACTGCCCTGTTAAAAAACAATTTTGGATTTAAGATACCCAGTGAGCCAGAACTGCCTATATATACTTTGCCAGCAATTATGAGCGGTCTAAACAGTAGACAAGTGATATTTGCTGATCCTGCTGTTGAGCCGTAGAGTAGCATTAGGGAAGCGCACGAGTCCCTGCAAAAGATCTCCACTATTTCTCTACCTTTGTTATTTGCCCAGAAGCTCACTTGTTATGAAAAGCATTGTTCACTCTCCGCTTTCTTCATCTTTTCATATACTTTGGAGTCACTAGGGCCTCCCTCCCTCCCTGTAAATGTGAACATTTGAAGATGAACAGGGTGAACCGTGGTTGTCAGCCTAGTAAAGGAAAGAAGAACATCCACTTCCAGTGTTTTCTACTGAAAACCCTTCTCCTTTGCATCGTTAGCTTAGTCCTGCCTGTGAGGCCCGGTGTCATCACAAACTTCCTCGGGTGGGAAGGGTTCAACACCTTCTTGCTCTACTCTAGAGGCCAGAAAAGCAGCTCGATCCAGAAGTGGCTCAGTACAGGAGAAAAGAGTACTTCCTAAACTACTTCAACCTAAACTGGCCCATAGCTGCATCACAGTAACACAACCGCACAGAGGCCTACGATAGCAAAGCTGACAAACTAGGAAAAAAGCTGGAAATTGAGGGGACTGAAAAGGAAGAAGGAAGGGGGCTGAGAATCTGTCTGTTTCTACAGCCACATCCAGCATAAGAAACACCAGTGAGAGACTGCGGAACGGGAAGAGCAAGTGACACCACCATTACTTTAGATCAACTGGAAACTTTCTCTTCTTGTACTAAGTCCTTCAGAAGTGCCTTCTTCCAGAAAGAATTGGTAGGAGACAGTTCTACCCCTTTCCATCGCCCCCAAAACCATACCCAGACCTCTTTTTGTTTCAGTCAGTTTCTGCTTTCCTCTTAGATGGGAGTATCAGGATTGAACAGCACCTACGAAAACAACCAAACCCTAAGGGCTAGGAATTGGGAAGCAGATAGAATCTCTTCCTGACCAGCACATGACCTTTATTCATTTTCCTTCTTTAGAACGAGATAGCATTTCATTTCCAGGCAACGTGTTTTGTCTGACGTCTGCAATAACCAAACTAAGAAAGGCACTATTCATTTGCCAACAGCAAATTTTAAAAAGCGTCTCTTTTCACCTTCGAAAACTAGCGGATTGTCCTTGCGTTATACCGTCAGTCAGGGGATATGTGAAAGTTTACAGCACTTAGCTTTAATTTCAGACTTCAGTTGTCTTGTGAAGAATGCTGTCCTTTACAACTCTTTCTAGGAAGACTTCAGAAACTTTGTTAACATTCCTATCTTGCTTACAGCACCAGGATTACAGTCAACAACTAGCACACTGAGAAGTCGGTCACAACTCCCAGCACCCCTCCTCCTCCCATTTCAACCCCTTCCCCCCAAAACGCAAAGGTTTAATAGAATTTGGGGGAGGGTGGAAGGACGACAGAAAGCTGCCAACTGCCAGTGGTGCCTTCCAGTATCATTACCATTTGCATAGCAAACACACTTGCCTAATCCCGTCATCGTAAGGCAAGAAAGCTCATTTCCCTGTAAGTGATTTCCACTTTGTTGGCCTTCATATACATTAGCTCTGCTTCCTCAAGCTGTACAACTGTGTCATAACTCATCTGAGTCTTCTTTCCCTTAGCGGAACCAATCTGAATGACACTTTCACCTCATCTGCCTGCCTAAGGCTGCCTGTAACATCAGGGCATCTCCCTGCTCTCAAGCCTACACCAGCCTGTGACCCGGAGCTCCTCCAGCTCAGCGTGACCTCAGCTTGCCATTACAGCAAGCAAGCGCACTCTGCCAGCCAGGGGGCCCAAAGCAAGTCACCAAGCAAACGCTCAGCTGCGAGAACCAGGCAGCCACATCAGTACTCATACAAGCTTTAGGGCTCTGGTGTCTGTGTCAGTGCAGCTCCAGGGAGGAAGGAACCAATGGAAAATGAGAGAGGCGTGCTGGGTACAGCACTGAGCTGCCCTTCCCCTCCCTCCAGCCCTGCTGCTCACCCCACTCACCCCCATGAGCAGCGGAGACACCTGAACCAGGAACCAGCACCCACCCCGCAGGCACCTCCTCACCCAACAGGGCCAGGAGCGAGAGGGACCAGGGCAGCCGGGCGAGGCAAGCGGGAACCACCCCGGGCACCGGGCCTTGTCCCACCCCGGGCACCGGGCCTTGTCCCACCCCTGCAGCCCCCGGCCCCGTTACCAGCCCAGCCACCAGATCCGGACCGGACCGGACCGACCTCCCTCCAGGCAACA